CAAGAGTTGGCGGTGGATGGTGATGACTAGCTGCCTTCCCTCTAGTTTTACACTGCTAAATTAGGGATGGCTAGTGCTCGTGTAGCTTTGCACGAAATTCAAAAAACAAACAAACATTTATATATTTAATTATAACTATTTTCTCTATCTTAATGTCCATATTGCTAATTAATAGATGGTATTTTCATGATGTTAGAAAAACACATAGGTTCAAGAAGTCTTGATAGAAATGAATGAAAACCCTATAACCAGAGTGCTTTCGAAAGGTGGACCTTTCTTTTTCACCTTTCGAAAGCACTCGGGTTATAGGGTTTTCATTCATCTTTAACAGATGGTATTAATGTATATTATATAGTTTTCATAACCGGGTGTTATCAAATGTTTGTTATTGTGAATCATTGAGATGATGGTGAAAATTCTTTGAGATTTTTAAGATCTGTTTTTAGTTCTTTGTCCAGGCAAAGCTTATAAGATTACATAGCAGGTTTTTCTTTCCTTTCTTTTATATAACTCCAGGTAGGCAGGGGCTTCTTCTAAGAGCATGCTCACTCTGTGTATGACTGCTTTCAATAGTGCTGCCTCCCCATGGCTCAGCATTAAGTGTCAGGGCTTGTAATTATAAACATCAGTTTTCAAATACTGGCATTGGGCACAGCATGAATAACCCATTGTATATCTTTGTGTTAAACAACAAACAAATCATTTGTGGATTGGTTCATCTCACATTACTACTTGCACAGAACACTGGATAATCAGCCACTTCTGTGGTTTGTTCATTATATATATATTTCACACCGGCTTATTTTCTGTTAGTGTAACAATCATTTGCTAAACATGGCAATCATCTCCCTTTGCTTATACTTCTTCACACAAAATATTAATATGGAGGTTCTCTGAAAAAGAAGTGCCTCATTTGGAATCCCAATTTGGTAAGGAGTTTCTTACTACTCTTTGTGGTCTCTGGTCAATAAAGAAGTAATTTCTTTAGTTGTCATTCAGTGCTCTCCATATCTTAAAATTAAGGTTTTGTTTAATTAGAGATGGCTCATGACATGTCTTCAGCTGCAATCTTATCAAAAACTTCCTTGACTGTAGAGCTGATCAATTAATTGGCTACTTGTTTAATTGGTTGAGATTCTTTCCTTTTACCATTTCATAAATTCAAGCACATTGTAACGCAAGAAACGAGATTGTCTACAAACTACATTTTGAAATCTGGCATAACTCATTTTCTCTTCTTTCCTCTTTCCTTAAATAAGGATCAGGTGATTGTTTTGTGTCAAACTAATCTAGAAAGAATCCTATGTGTACTTGACATGTATCATGATTGGCCACCTGAGACAACATGTACAAGTGAAAGATTTGAAAAGCTTGCATTTAGGTACAACAAACATTGCTGAGAACACAGGTAGGAGGTGGGGTAATTTGAGAGGGGAATACTTAACTCTCTAGTTATGAGCTAGTCGAACAATCTTAGTTCGTGACCCCAAATTGACCTTTACAGTTTTCATACTATAACTTCTAATATGTCTTGTGTACCTTCACAAAATTTTGAGAGCTTTCAGTAATCATTAAGAGTCATTTGCAGATAAACAATCAGAATTTTTAATGAAGTATTTTCATGAAAAATGACTTCATGAATATATGAAGTCAAAGTTTTGAGTGCAAGGTGATTTTCATGTTAAGATTAAAAATACTTTTCTTCATCTGAAAAATCTGAGATTTCATTTGCATAATATCTAAAACCTCCTAGATATATGTCAGAGTTTTTTTTTTCAGTGAAACTTTATATTTTATTTATTTTCTCTATCCTAACTATATGAGGTTGGTCAATTTGGCCAACCTCATAACCACCAAAAATGAATTTGAAATAAATCTATATTACCATTTTTTCTTTCTATATTGACTTTAAACTGTAATTTGCAACTGCATTTGTTTATTCTAAATTGCTTTTAACTCAAACAGTATACATCTATTTATACTTAAATATTATTGCTTTATTGCCCTTTGAACCATGTCCAACTAATATTTGCACCATGTAAGTTGTAAATCACTTGGCAAACATGTAGCTCATATTACCCTGTTGAATTACATAATGCATGAGCTACTTGTGAGTTACTCACTAGTGTATCTTGTGAAAATGTTTTATTATTCTTGATTTTACCTAATCTAACCTTATCTCACCAAAAGAGTCTAATTTTTTATATTTTAATTACTTTTATAATAATAAAGAAAACGCATGAAAAACGAGCAGACAATGCCCCATAACTATCACAATGTTTCTGACTTTCCAACTATATGATATGAGCCACTAAAAATTTAGATAAGCTTGTTGGTGTGTTTCTCATGGAAATAAAGTTTGAACTGGAAGCAAAATAGTCCATTCTCTGTACAGAAAACAAAATAATTTAATATGTAATTTGGTAGATTAAAATGGTAGCTTTCTAATGTTTCTAAGTAATAGAGAGAACTATTGGCAATTTCTGAAAAGAGAGGATGTGATAGGTGGATGTGGCAAGAAAGATCTCATTTTCTATCTTATGGCCCTGTAACCACATAAGATTGAAGGCTATAAAAATTATGCTTTGCCTGAGTGATGACAACATTATAATGAGTAATTTCTGTTAAATTTTGTGAAGGAGTAGTAAATAAATTAGAAAAAAGGGCATATCTAGAGAGCAAATGTCACAATTCTCATACTAGGATAAATTGAGGATTTTTTCTAATATTTCCTCATAAAATTAAGAACTTAAAACTTGTATTAAAATTTGGATTATTATTTACATTTTTATGCCAAAGGTATTTGTATACCACAATAAGAAAATAGTTTAATTTTGAGTGTAACTCGGTACAACCTCATAACATAAGCAGAAAGTGTTAATTAGAATCCATTTTACCCACTAGGAAAAAAAAACTAACAGAAAAATATAGTTGAATTTACTATTAAAATCCCCATGTTTAGTTTCAGAGGAGGAAGTCTCTAACAGCCCCCCTAACCCCTCAGGTGACATGGGAAGAATATATCACAGCTACACAGGGAAAACCTCCTCATTTAGGTCGCCAGATGGTTAGTAAGGAATCTGTTAAAAACTTTAAAGCCATCCTTGCCATGGTAAGTTCAAATATTTTGTGTGAAACTTATTCTTTTATATTTATTAAGAAGTACATCCAGCATATTCCAAAACTCTGTACCCTGTTAAAAAATATTTTTACATGTAATTATAGTAATTAACAATGCAGTAATTAAAGTTTGTTCCACTTCATAATCTTTGTGGTGGTTAAAATTCCAAAGAAACAGTAAGAGATACCAAAACTATATTAAATATTAAAGTGTTTTTGCAGCGTTTTCACTGTTTATTAACCAGTCAGAATACTCCTTATTTTTCTTTCGTGTTTATGTTTATTTAATGGTTTTTAAATATGTTCTGCTCTAATAAAAACATTTGTGCTCAACTTGGCTCAGTGGTAAACTTAAGAGTTTGTAATGCTAAAATTTGGGGTTCAATTTCTATGGTGAACAAGGACACATTGCTCATTATGCAGTTTTATCCTTAGAACAAACCAACAAGGAAACTAAGTTACATTTGATTTTGGGAATTTTTTATACTTTCCTAGTTTTATAAAATAAATTCATCATAACAGTTCCAGGTTTAATAGAACATTGTTATGCTCTGCATAATTATTCTGAGTATACCAAATCAGAAGCTCAATCTTTGATTTCTCCAAGAAAAAATATGCCGAAAAGCAAACTTATCAACTGAGGTTAAATAAAGAAGATCGTAATAGTTTGTTTAACTATCATGTGGGTATTAGTGATTGTTGGGTTGTAAATTCTTATATTCAGGCTTGCTAAGGTGTACATCCAACAAAATGTTTTATATTTTAAGAGTTTGTACTGTAGTCTTTTACAATTTTGTTTAATCCTTTTGAATTTAGCACACTTTGTATTATTTTATAATTATTGCACTCAAAATTTAAAAAATTGAAGTGGTGTTCAGGAAAGGTAGTTTTATTTAAAATGTAGTTTAATTACTACTGTAATGAATTCAAATTTGATAAAGATCAACACACTTTAAGATAAAGTATGAAGACAGCTTTAATGGGTAATGAAGAAAACTTTATTACAAGTTTAACAGAATAACAAATGTATGACGTTTTTACAAGGTTTAGTCATCATCGGCATCTGATTCAAGCAAAGTGATTTTAATTATTATCTTTGTCTTTGTTTTCAGAGTGAAGAATTTCCATTATCAGTAGAATCGTAAGTGATATTCCAGTCATAGTAATTGTTTGTTTAGTCCAGAGTTTTGTAGAAGTAATTTAAAGAATTTGATTAAAAAAATATGAGCATCTGAGATTTCATGGTTCATTGCCTGATGTTGTATAGATTAACTCCACACTGTTGATACACTATAAGAATGACAGTCAAATGAGAGTATTTCATTAGTTGGTACTGGTTGCTGGTGACCAGCTGCTTTTCCTCTTAGAGGTGTCAGTGCACAAAAAGCCCTTCGTGGAGCTAAGAATGAGAATTCTAAAACAAGCAAACCACTTTAATCGTCTTACCTGAAACACAAGTGTAGAGGATGATGTTTCCAAAGTCTTCCACCTTTCGTCTTCAGGTCAGTGTGTGTATGGTGTTGTCTGTCTTTATAGTATTCTGGTGGATTGTGGAGAGCTTGTTATGATTTGTTGGTTTATCCATGTTTCTGATTGGTGGAGAGACGTCCTGTATTTTCAACCAATGGTAGCCACAAGTTACTCACCTATAATCCTGAATTTCTGTTTAGTGAAGGTTTTATTGTGTTAATGTAATATGATTCTTTAATTTCTCTTGTCTTCCAAAATTTGTCTGTGTCAATGATTCTAGTTTTTCCCAGTTTATTTTGTGTCCAGTTGACATGGTGGGTTCTACAATATACCTTTAAGGCGTATCATCAGTACTGTAAACTCATCTTGCCATCAAATAGCTACAGTCTTGGTACCTATCCTATCTCCACTATGAGGGAGTACAGAGCATCACATTACAACTCTACAGATTTCTTAGAACAACTCAGAAAGCTGCACATCAGATCACAGACCTATTTACCAATGTTCCAACCTCAGAAACCCTTCATATCACCAGACAGCAACTGCTGAAAGACAGCTCTCTACCACACACAACTGACATGAAAATAGACGCCATCATGGAATTCATGACTATTTGCTTACAATCAACTTATTTCCAATACAACAAGGAATTCTGCGAATAAACAAATGGTCTCCTTCCAATCTTAGCAAACATTTTCATGGAAGACCTTGAAGAAAGAGCCATCTCATCCAAGTTTCTACAGACATTATGTTGACGACACCTTTGTTATCTGGGCCCATGAAAACTTACCAGCCTTCCATTTTTTGACATCAGCAGACAAGAGTGAAAAATCACCACAACTGTACACAGAAAACTCACCTGCATGAATAGATACCTACACTTCCAATCTTAATAAAAGAATAAAAGAACCTAAAGAAAGTTCAAGGCTCATGAAAACAAAATTCAGCCATTGCAGAACACACCATGTTAACTGGGAAAAAACTAAAATCATTGACACAGACAAATTTTGGAAGACAATAAAAATGAAAGAATCATTTTACATTAACAGAATAAAACCTTCACTAAACAGAGGTTCCAGATTAGAGGTGAGTAACCTGTGGCTACCGTTGGTTAAATCTACAGGAAGTCTCTCCACAATCCACCAGAATACTATAAAGACAAACAATACTGACATGAAGACGAAAGGCAGAAGAGTTTTGAAACTTCACCCTCTACACTTGTGTTTCTACAACAGGCAGTTGCCATCCATTCAGCAAAGTTTCATCATGAATACTCTGCCTAAACCATCTATCAATGAATTAAAGATTATCTTTGCAATCATCAGTAGATTGATTAATCAAATAGTAAATGATTAATGTCTGGGCACTATGGTATTATATGAGCATATTAGGTGCTAAGTTTTATTTGCTAATAATTGTCAATAGTATGTTGGACATTTTGCTAAAACTGACTAAAAGTACTTACAGATTATGGAATTTTTCATGTATCTGAGAGATAAGAGTGGTGTGTAGATTACTTGGATTTTTATTATTTTTTAATCTGGTAAATTTGAAGATTATATATGTGAGCTTACTTAGCCTGAGTGTTACTTTTTCTGTGTGATAACAGTTTAGCATTATGTATATTAGTGGATGGACTTGTGAATTTTTTTATTTTTGACAGCTTACTAAATGTGCTTGAGGTAATTGCACCTTTCAAACATTTCAACAAACTGCGAGAATTTGTACAAATGAAACTCCCACCTGGTTTCCCAGTAAAAATAGGTAAGTCAAACAGTAATTTTACCATCAAATAAGGTGAATGATTAATAAGGTACAGAAACTATGCAAATCTGTAAAAAAAAATATCCTTTGCATATTACGTAATCAACTTGGGAATCTTTATCTTCTGAAAGATTTTTACATGTGTCTGACATAAATGTTTTGTTGATAAAGTAATATTACAAGTACAAGGACAGAAAAAATTTTCTCTGATACTTTATAAAGTTTTAGTTGTATGAAGCTATCTTAAGTGTCAGAGTTTTGAACTTGGAAGATTGTAAAAAGTTT